AGTGTTGGTGAAAAATAGTTTTCTAGTGAATAACCATGTTGAAATTCTTGACAAGGAAATTGAAGATATATTGTGGGTCAAAATTTCAAGTAAACATACCGAGGATGTAATGTGCCTGTGCGTTGCATACCTTCCTCCATCTGGATCAACAAGGTCTCATGATATAGAAGTGTTTTTCACAAAACTTTTAGAACAGTTTTATACATATCAGAATATAGGAACTTGTGTATTAACAGGGGACATCAATGCAAGATGTGGTGACTATTCTGATTTCATTAAAGGTGTAGATGATGTTGTTCAACGTGAAGCAATTGATCATTGTATAAATTCTGCAGGGCAATTGTTTATAGATTTCTTAGTTGATTGCAACCTGTGTATGGCAAATGGAAGGATAGGAGAAAATAACTTCACATCAGTGTCAACAAAAGGAAAAGCTGTAGTTGATTACATTGTGCTGCCACATGAACAGTTAAATATTGTGAAGGACTTCAAAGTTCATCTTATGACTGACATCGCATCGACAAATGATCAACAGGATAACAACAAAACACCAGATCATTCTTACATAGAAATATCATTGGATCTGTTTGCTGCAAGTGATAATGATATCATCCATAGAACAGAAGAGACAAAAACTAGTAAATGTGACAAGTTTAATACAAACAATCTCCCAAGTAACTTTTTTAATGATGAAAACATTACCAAGAAAGTGAATGAGACAATTTCTAAAATTGAGAAGCAACTAAGTGAAGAAAGAAGTGTATCTGAAGCCTACCAATCTTTTACAGACCTAATATATGAGGAAATGGATGAAAAATAAAAGAAAATGGGTAGTAGAAGAAAAAATATCAAAAGAAGATTTAAATCAAGGTTCAAACCATACTGGAATGAAGATCTTCAGGGAAAATGGGACTGTATGTGTGAAAAAGAAAGACTGTGGTTATCTTGTTCAGGTTCACAACACAATAAAAGAGCTTTAAGAAGAGATTATGTTGGTAAAAGAAAACTATTTGACAAGCTTCTAAGGAAAACAAAGAGACTGTATCAAAATCAACAAAGAGATGAACTGTTATCTATGTGTGAAGAAAACAAAAGTAAGGAGTTCTGGAGAGAAATTGGTAAACTTGGGTTATCAAATGATAGGAAGAAACAAATTCCCATGAAGATGAAGTTAGACAATGAAGAAATCACATCTGATGCAGACACTGTATCACAACACTGGAGAGACTCATATCATTCATTGTTCTCTGCTAATGAAGAAAAGAGCAGTAAACTGTTTGATGGTGAATTTTATCAAAATATAATAGAAGAATTAGCTCAATTGAAGAAAACAGAAGAAGACAGAGATATCTCAAGTTTAAATGAACCTATTTCATTCAGTGAGGTTGAGATAGCTGTTAATCATCTCAAGAAAGGTAAAGCTGTTGGTTTGGATAATATTCCTGCTGAAGTCCTACAAAATAATCACTGTATTAAGCTACTCCACAAATTAATACACTTTTGTTTTGAGAATTCAGTTGCACCTAATGAATGGAATAAAGGAATCATAAATCCTATTCCAAAGTCAAATAGTGATCCACTTGACCCACTTAGCTATAGAGGAATAACTCTGTTATCTATTCCATGTAAGGTATATACAGACATCCTAAATAGAAGGATTCAATCCTGGTTAGAAGATAATAATACATTAGTAGAAGAGCAGAATGGATTCAGACAGAATTGCAGTTGCATAGATCATGTTTATGCACTTTACAACATCATCAATGTGAGAAAGTCTACTAAAAAGTCAACATTTGTGTGTTTTGTTGACATAAAGAAGGCATTTGACTCTGTTGACAGGCAATGCTTATGGTTCAAGCTTATGAAGTGTGGTATAAAAGGAAAAATTCTTCAATGCATACAGTCACTCTACAACAATGTGCAATGCACAGTTAAATTAAATGACTTGTATACAGATCCATTTGATGTGAATTATGGTGTTAAACAAGGCTGTAAATTATCCCCAACTTTATTTTCTATTTACATCAATGATCTTGCTGAGGAATTGAAAGGTTTACAATGTGGAATTGAAATAGAGAACTATATGTTATCTGTTCTCCTATATGCGGATGACCTAGCATTAATCGCCCCGGATGAAGATTCTCTACAGAAAATGCTATGTATACTCAGTGAATGGTGCAGACAGTGGAGGTTAGAAATAAACTGTGAGAAAACACAAGTTGAGCATTTCAGACCCAAGTCTAAAATCATTTCAGATTACCAGTTTAAATGTGGCTTAAATGTTGCACCATATACAGAGAGCCATAGATACCTGGGCATCTGGTTGAATCAACATATGGACATGCATAAGACTGTAAAAGAACTTTGTAAATCTGCCAGTAGAGCACTATCTGCATTGTACACTAAATTTAGAAGTTGTGGTGGGATGTCCTATGAAGTGTATACCAAGTTGTACAATACCCTTATCAAGCCTGTTTTGTTCTATGGAGCTGGTATATGGGGGATTAACAAATACAGGGAGGTGCAAGTCATCCAAAACAAAGCTGGTAGATTCTTTCTAGGACACCGGTCAAAATGCATCCAACTTGGCGATTCGCAGCGATATGGGATGGTCATCAAGTGATGTGGATCAAAAGATAGAATTATTTAGACAATTCTTCAGATGTGAATCAATGCCAGATAGCAGAATTCCAAATATTATTCATAGGTGGGCAATGTATCAAAGTAAATCTCTTGATAAAAGAACTGAAATGCTGATACGAGACTTTAATGTGGATGGGATTATCAGTGACAGTGACAATAACAAGAAAAAAGTGAACTTACTGAAGGATATCTTGAAAGAGAAAGATAGTGAATCATGGTGTAAACAAGTGTGGGATGATGAGAACAAACCAAATGGTAACAAGCTAAGGACTTTCAGACTTTTCAAATTTGATGTGAATGTGAGCCACTATATATGTGAAATGTGTGAAGCGAAGGGATTATCGAAGTGTTTTATCTAAGTTTAGGTGTGGTAACCTCCCTCTATTAGTCGAAACAGGCCGCTATTCCTTTAAATGATAGAATATGTAAATTTTGTGCAGAAAAAAATAATTATGTTATTGAGGATAAATCACACTTTTTAATAGATTGTTTTGTATACAGTGACCTGAGATATCAACTACTACACAAGGCAGCTGAATTAAATCAGGACTTTTATTATTTTAATAGCATTCAGCAATTATCTTATTTGATGCAACAGTGATTTTACAGCCGCTTTTAGCAATCATTTTATACAGCATGTATAGAAGGAGAGTGCATCTCTTCTAGTCTTAACATTGTATATAATATTTTTATTTTGTGTTTTATATTTAATAATGTTATATGTTTTAAATGCTTTTAGAGTGTCTCATAAGCCCTAGAGGCCGGATATTGTACTTTTAATGGCAACTTGCTTTTGTTTAAAATGTGTTTTATGTACAATATGTGACACTTAAATAAACATTTCTTCTTCTTCTTCTATCACAGAGACGGGTGTTGGGCGCTAGACATGATATAGCTGCCATTGTGTGCGTGTGTGTGTGTGTGTGTGCGTGCGCGCGCGCGTGCGTGTGCGTGTGTGCGTGTGTGTGCGCGCGCGCGTGTGTGTACGCGCGTGTGCGTCTGTGTGTGTGTGTGTGCGTGCGTGCGTGCGTGCGTGCGTGTGTGTGTGTGTAAAGGGTAGGGGGGGGGGGGGGGGGTAGTATAAGAGCTGATTTCATGGTTGAGAGTACCATTGGGAGATGGTTATGTCGGGAGTGCCTGTGTGCCTGTGTGAGTTTGGCTGTGGTCGTGGCTGTGGCTCGTGCTGGGGTCCAGCATAGGCGAGGAGCAAGTGTAGAGTGATGGGGTTCGTTTGTGTGTGCGCGTGTGTTTGCGTGTGCGTGCGCATGTGCTGCCTGAGCGCGTGTGAGTGTGTGTGCGCGTTCGCTCATACAGGGGTGATTCATAGGTGCGGGCACAAGTGTGAGGTGATAGTGCGTGTGTGTGTGTGTTTGTGCGTGTATGCGTGCTTGCGTGTGCGTGCGTGCGTGTGTGCGTGCTTGCTTGCCTGTGCGTGTGCGCGTGTATGTGTGTGTGTGTGTGGACGGGAAGGGTACTAATGGATGAGTTTCCAAGCGTGAGGTGTGAACTTCGTCTGTGTCAATCATTCGTCGGATTTGCAGCAATACCTTATCTCAGACATAGCTCCTGTGCACGTTGCAATCTGTTAAAAGTCGTGGACAATCAGACGAGCGATACAAACACATCAACGGAAGCGCCATTAAAATCGTCATAACTGTAGCTTCAACGTTCACACAGAAAACAAAATAAAACAGGCGTTGACTTGATTGTATGTAGATGGTTAACACACTAGACAGGAGCTTATCGTGACGACTGGCGACACGTGGACAATGTAGCTACGTCAGGAGTCATCATCAGCTCTATTTGATTACCTGAATTCTATTATATGGTCTCTGCTGAATTACAGGGAATTTGTACAGGGAACACAATGACAAACCCATACCGTGGAACTGTGAACTAGTTCGAACTGGGAATATCTACCTTCACGTCGAGATATTTCATAAATCAAACTGATAAAAAATAAATCGGGATGTAGGATCACGAAACAAAACAACGAAACCTCATTCAACAACTCTGTGATTAAATAGCCGCATTTGACCCATGCGCAGCAATATAGCAAATTAAGCGATCGGATTACCGACCCACCCGTGTTGAGCCCCAAGAGTTGATCTCAGAACCGAACAGTACACAGCAGATAACTTAAACCGTAAAACTGTATGCCCTGGCGGTTGAAGCGAGAGTAAAATTTGAAGTAAAAATATAAGACGACTTAATGTGCTATTGCAAACGGGGCCAACATTATCGCAGTGACGCACCTTCCTCTTTATTAGGCCCGCCGTGTGAACCCGCCCGTTCCGTAACGTCACGGTCGAGTTCAGTCTATTATTTATGACCTCTCTATATCGTCACACCAAGGGTGTAATAGCGGGGTAGTTGGGACGAACTGGTCTCCAGTCTTGCTTAGCGTTAACCCCTACTCTACCGTCGCTACTGTACCCTACACCCGTATTGTCGGAGCCCACCCGTCTCATTGCAAGTCTGTGAAAGACGAGGCTTGGATTACCAGTGTTGTGCTTGATACGAACATGTCTATTTGCACTGGAGACACGTATGGTGTGTGTTCAACAGAATGTTCTAATGAGAACTTAGTATAAATACCTACCTACGTCTTGTCCTGCTTTCACATGCAGGATGGGAGGATTATTCATAACTTAATAACTCCCTGAGCGTGACAACTATCTGTAGGATACTCCGACCTTATCGAACAGGTAAACACGCTAGACATATTTCACCTTATGGTATTCGGATGCGGTCTTGCATAAATGAGAGTGCAAAACAAATACAACAGAGCAACATGTAGAGAACGAGACCAGTCAAGCGGATTATTCTGAGCCGGAGATAATCTGTGTAGTCGTGGTATGCAGTAATAAGAGGGTGGTAGGACCGAGCTGTCGAGTCACACGGACAACATCTAGGCACTGGTAGCTTGTCGATTTCACCTGGAGATTTACCTGGCGGCACACTTCCAACGGCATACCTGTCTGTTGACAGATGTTATTGTGGCACTGTAATAAGCTGTGACATTTATGGAATAATCTAGTTACACCAACACCATGGCTAAAACATCGGCCGGCAGGGTAAGTAGTCATGATGTGTGTTGTCATGTATATTTCAGTGTATATGTCATGTATATTTCAGTGTATATGTCATGTATATTTCAGTGTACATGTCATGTATATTTCAGTGTACATGTCATGTATATTTCAGTGTATATGTCATGTATATTTCAGTGTATATGTCATGTATATTTCAGTGTACATGTCATGTATATTTCAGTGTATATGTCATGTATATTTCAGTGTATATGTCATGTATATTTCAGTGTATATGTCATGTATATTTCAGTGTATATGTCATGTATATTTCAGTGTATATGCCATGTATATTTCGGTGTATATGCCATGTATATTTCAGTGTATATGTCATGTATATTTCAGTGTATGTCGTCATGTGTATTTCAGTGTATATGCCATGTATATTTCAGTGTATATGTCATGTGTATTTCACAGGAGCTTGTAACGCAAATATTAGTAGCAAAATATATGTCTACTTCCAGGGTCATGGTATTCCTTCATATTGTGCTGACACCGATATTGATCATATGTCTTGCTGCTAATATTTGCGTTACAAGCCCCAGTGATGTGCATCATGTACTTAGCATGTATATTTCATGGATATATGCATCAACGGTGTGGTTAATAATTCTGAATAATGTAAAGAACATGGCGGCTATGCATTAAGTTTCCGATTTTAGCGATCGTTATCTATACATCTAACTTGGTATATAATCGTTGTTTCTTGTGCGACGGTAGGGAGCAGTGTTACAAATGACGGAACATCACGTCCCCGTCGTTAATGATGAGAATGTACATGGCTTCATCGAATATGATGATGATTATGATGATAACACATCTTCTACTAGTTGAGAACTGTTGTATACCTTGTTCCCCAAACACTAAAAGCATCAACAAATCATTTCGGGTGTGACCGTAATGGGTTTTTTTCATTTTATGTAGAAAACAAGAAAACTCATCACGTATCATTTCACGAAATCTGTTAACCACACGCGTGCCTACTGTCGGCCCTTGTCAGCTGAGGTAGTCCTACCTGAGAACAGGTGCTCTGTGCTTTCCCCTACTCCTGGGGTATGTTTCCCTTGAGCTTTCTCACGTCACATATGTGATCCATTTGTCTATACGTGATCCATACTGTCTATATGTGATAGCGAGCACACATACATATGTGATCCATTTGTCTATATGTGATCCATTTGTCTATATGTGATAGCGAGCACACATACATATGTGATCCATTTGTCTATATGTGATCCATACTGTCTATATGTGATAGCGAGCACACATACATATGATCCATACTGTCTATATGTGATAGCGAGCGCACACACATATGTGATACATGCTGTCTATATGTGATAGCGAGCACACATACATATGTGATCCATTTGTTTATATGTGATCCATACTGTCTATATGTGATAGCGAGCACACATACATATGATCCATACTGTCTATATGTGATAGCGAGCGCACACACATATGTGATACATGCTGTCTATATGTGATAGCGAGCACACATACATATGTGATCCATGCTGTCTATATGTGATAGCGAGCACACACACACATGTGATCCATACTGTCTATATGTGATAGCGAGCACACATACATATGTGATCCATACTGTCTATATGTGATAGCGAGCACACATACATATGTGATTCATACTGTCTATATGTGATAGCGAGCACACATACATATGTGATCCATGCTGTCTATATGTGATAGCAAGCACACATACATATGTGATTCATACTGTCTATATGTGATAGCGAGCACACATACATATGTGATCCATTTGTCTACATGTGATCCATACTGTCTATATGTGATAGCGAGCACACATACATATGTGATTCACACTGTCTATATGTGATAGCGAGCACACATACATATGTGATCCATGCTGTCTATATGTGATAGCGAGCACATATACATATGTGATTCATACTGTCTATATGTGACAGCGAGCACACATACATATGTGATCCATGCTGTCTATATGTGATAGCGAGCACACATACATATGTGATACATACTGTCTATATGTGATAGCGAGCACACATACATATGTGATACATACTGTCTATATGTGATAGCGAGCACACATACATATGTGATCCATGCTGTCTATATGTTACACTTGGAGCGTTTAACTGTAACACTATAAATCAAGGCCTATTGTCTCTGCTATGTTAACGCACTGGGATTGCTGATCGATTGTCTACAAAATCGATTTGTATTGATCCGTCTCCCATTTATGAATACCGCACTCACCCTGTCGAATCCACCATCTCCATAGTCCACGATACACACACGTGACGAAATACGGTAAACATTTCACTCTCTCAATCTTGACAAGGCTTTGAACAAGTACAGTACGCCAAACACAATCAAACTTAATCTCCTCTAGAATCACTGCAAGCTATGTTCTATACACAGCTAACCAGCCGTACACACTTCAGACAATCTGGCGTTCTCTCGTGATCAACCGATACAATTAGAACAAATTGTTCTGATCTGACGAGATTTCACGTTGAGACGATTACGAAATTTGTGTTTTCAATAGAATGTATTGCTTATATTATTCATTTTTATTTCCTGTGTACAATTACGGAATTGTTTTGTTCATTTTGAAGCTACTAAAGAGTAATTATATTTAGAATAGAAAGTAATTTTATCCGCTTAGCTTTATTCATGACACCATCTTGAGGGAGCAGGTGCGTGATCCGTTAAGTCCGAACAGAACAAAGTACTTACCCACCCCCACCCCGGCCCCACCCGCACCCCCACCCCCACCACCACCACCACCACCACCCCGGCCCCACCCCACCTGATCATGAACTAGAAATAAAGAGAACAGTGAGACCGCCCCCTCTGTTTCATATTGAGATCTATGCATAAAGATTCAGAGTGACCAAACACTCTCCACAAGACTGTATGACAAGAGGGATGACTTTAACTTTCCAATAGTCAACTTTCCCTTCATGTTGGGTTATTCCTGCAGCTCCAGCCTTTGGTGCTTACATTTCACAACTTTGAGGTACATTCGAGCATGCTCTTTCTACCCAGACTTCAAAGAGCGTCATACGTTTGATGGGGGTTACAAATTCAAGGCCTCAGTAAATATGCTTTATGGTAGACATGTGAACGGCATCTCCAAATCAGGCACGTCAGTGGTCAAAATTATGTCCAATTCAAATCGCTAACTTGACTTGTACCACGTGTTCCCGTGTCTCTTCAGGTGAATACTTGCCTTGCCTTTTCATGTGTTTGTGTCGGGGCTCACCGTTTGGGCAGGATACGCTCACCTTTTCCCGAACACTAATTGATAGTCATTAATGAACACATGTTTATGATACCACCGGAAGAGCACAACGGACTCTGATTTTATCAATGATTTCGTAGAATTATAGAAATGGTGTTGTCGCTTTTACTTTCTTGATTTAGAAGGCAATGGAGTTATTTCCCCTTCTTACCCATAATGCACCTTGTCGTGGATTACTGTGACTCTCTAATACCAAGGCACTTCAATTCCCTGTAATCCGACATAGCGGTGTTCATGCTCGGTACATTTACTTGTTGTATGCTGAATGGTCTCAGGAATCATGGCAGCACACGGTAAAAGGGATCACTAAATTGTGGGTTTGACTCCAGGCGCTGTGATGCGTGGCCATTATAGATTTGGTAGCATTTACACGCTCTGACATCACGGAGCATTAAACATGAACAGTTTTGTTAAAGAAATCAATGTTAATAAATACACACTTATATTTTTACGTTTTATCATTATGTATCGGTTATATTAATTTCCGCGATGTTATTGCGAAACAGTAAAACAAACGGAAATAATTATGCCGCACGATTGATGGAGACGTTTTGATCTGTACCGGCTCTGGGCTTTAGTTAGTGAGACAGAAATGTGCCAGTCAATGTTAACATACATTTTGTTTTAAAAAAAGGAGACATGGCAAACATATGTTTTGTACCCTAATCAAATGTTGTTTCAGGGCCTGTTACATGTCCAGGGACTGATTGTTTCAGTGACAAATTATTTTAAAGTCTTTGTTTTGTGAATATATAATATTTTCCAAAACTTCTATAATATTTGAGAAATTGGGGTAAACACAAGAGTCATGATTGGGGTATTAAATAATATATAAGTTAGCAGACAAACAAAGTATGTTTTAACAAAGTTAGTCCTTTAACACACCAGCCTTATGCCTGAATCCCAGACTGTCGACCCAGCTGGAGCTAAGTCTGTGGTAGATAGAGTCACTGGTCACACTACACAGTCAGTGTATTGCACATGCTCTATCTCCAGGGTAGCTCACGTTGCCATGCTTGGCTGAACGATGACATACAACACAGCTTGGCATGTGAATTGACATGACGACCTTGCTTCAAGATTCGTTAACAGGCATGACGTTGTAAGGCCATAGGTCAGAAGGTCTCACCACTGTCTTATTTTGTGCTGTGAGACCTCAATTAAGAGGTCTTACCGGTGGTATGTGTTGGCTGGTTGTAAAACCTCAGTTCCGAGGCTTTGGCCACTAATCTATGTTACTGGATTGGAAGACCTCTGTTCAGAGGGTTTGACCACTGAATTATTGTGCTAGAGTGTAAGCCCTAAAATCAAAGGGTCCGAGCAGTTCACAAGTATGCATAGGTTGACCGACGTTTTAGACAGATGGATAGAAAAATGAGTTCTTAAATATGTAAAAAGTAAAATTAATATTTTTATATTTTTTTATTCACGTAATTGTGTAACTCCGGAGACCAGTTGTCTTGTGTTTTGGCCAGGAGGATGGTCTTTTCCCGAACCCCGTTCAAGAAATCATGTTTGACGAAATATCGCCTTGACACACATATACGGAAGTGCTAGCACTGCAAGATAGATCGTTTCACTGGCATATTGTCCACGGAGGCGTCGTATATCAATGCTTAACGATTGGTTCTACAACACTAGGCCGTGTACCTTTTGCATGCAATCTCAGTCA